ATTTGCCTTTTGCCCGCTGCTTCAGTCATGGCAGTGTCTGCACCTGAGGTCTCCAATCATGGGACCTCCTCTGAGGGGGAGTTGGGGGAGGTGATTCCCAGAGTAGGAAATCTCTGCAAGCCTGCTTGATCAGCTGTCCCACCACAGCAGAGTCCTGGAGAGAGCAATAGGTCACAAATCGTCTGGCTTGGATCATGAAGAAGCAGGCTTGATTTTTGCTTCACCCTCTACTAATCTGCAGGGGTGGCCTGTATCTGCCCATCAGGTCTGCTCAATGCAGTCTTCTGCAGCTGTCAGAGATGTGAGTTGAAGGGAGACAATAGCTTCCCACCAGGGGCAGAGCCCTTTGTTGTCCCACCAGGCTTCCACGACTGCCTAGAACAACTTGTCTCCAACCAGTTAGAGAAGGAGGAAAAAGCTTATTTTACCCCCCTGGGAAGAAGAAGAAGAGAAGAAGAGGAGATTGGATTTATACCCCGCCCTTCACTACCCAAAGGTGTCTCAGAGCAGCTTACAGACTCCTTTCCCTTCCCCTCCCCACAACAGACACCCTGTGAGGTAGGTGGGGCTGAGAGAGCTCTGAGAGAAACTGCTGTTTTTCAAGAACAGCTCTTATCAGAACTATGGCTTGCCCAAGGTCATCCAGCCAGGTGCAAGTGGAGGAGTGGTGAATCAAACTCGGTTCTCCCAGATTAGAGTCTGCGCACTTAATCACTACACCAAATCACTGCACTTAATCACTACACCAAATTGGGAAAGATGACGTGAGTCCCCCCCCAGTCAAACACCTTCAAAAATTAACTACTTCAAGGCCCTCTAGACACAGAAACACCAGTGCTCTTCTTGGCCGACAAAGGCTGCCTGTAAAAGCACCTTTCCCATTAGGAGCAATTATTCAACTTTCTCAGGCTACAGATCTGTAGGTTCTGAGGGTTCTGATTCAGATCTGGATAAAGAGGAAGGCCAGTTGTCTGAGGATGAAGTCCCTCAGCAAAGCAAGCCAACTCACTGCCTTTTTTCTCATGAGGAACTTGCTGCTCTCTTATATAAAACATTAAAAATCCTACAGTTTTCTGCTCCTAAGGTAGACCCCACAAGAGGAACAGGATGATGATGGTGACCATAAAGGAGCCCCTGAGGTATTCTCTAGGGTTAGAAAGCTGGGTTCAATTTTCCCCTTCCCTTCCTTTTTAAAAACTGAGATAAATGTGGAATGGTCAGATCCTATCAATAACAGTTTACATTCTGGACAGGCTAAAAAGAATCTACTCTTTTCCTCCCAAGGTAGCCAGCTTACTGAAAGTTCCAGTGGTAGATGCTCTTGTGGCTAGCTTAGCATCAGGGTGGCTTTTCCAAAAGAGAGAGAGTGCACCCTTAAAGATCCCAGTGATTGAAAAACGTGACTCAACTCTCTGTAGAGCCAATGAGGTCATTGCCTTCTCCATTAAAGCTTCTGCTTCCACTTCTCTGATTCACAAAACCAAAATAGGACCTACGGTAAGTAGGAAATACCAAAATACCAAAAAGTGCTTGGAAATATCCGTTGAACTCCATGAGGAAGACACTGAAACAGGAGGATATCTGGACCTCTGTTGGAGGAAGACTGAGCACTTATTCAAAACAAAGGAGTGTCCTCCCTCTTAAAACTTTTGTATAATTAAGGAAGACTGATAGTAATAAAGGGGTTGTACAATATCTTTTGTGATATATTAAGAGACGATACTTAGATGTTTTGATATATGATTCTATGTATTAAGGCTTATATGATAAATAATATTTGGTGAATAAATAGTAAAAATATAAAAATATATATAAAAATTATTTGAGATATTCCACTTCTCTGATGGCAAGAGCCTCATACACGTGGATTTGTAAGTTGTCCCTAGAATACCTCATTTAAATCAGCACCTGTCAAGTAACACACACAGTCTGGAGGGGGCAGCAGCTTTCATGTCTGGTGCTAGCCTGGACACAATCAAGTTCTCAGCAAGGGCAGTGGCTACCACAGTGGTAACCAGAAGACATCTCTGGTTCAAGCCCTGGAATGTGGGCTTCCTTTCTAAGTCTCACGAGACATCTTAGTCTTTCTGGGTGGCAAGCTATTTGCAGATAACCTAGAGGACATCTTAATCGAGACCAAGGACAAGAAGAAGGTCATGCTGTTCACCTATAAAAGGGAGGACAGATGGCAGAAAAAATATGGTTCACAGTCCTTTCATTCTTACAGAACACTTCCACAATTTAGATCAGACTTCAAGCAGCAGTCATGGACCAAATCCAAGCCTAACTTCAGAGCCACATGTCAATACTACAGCTCAGCCTAAGCACCAGCTTCCAGTAAGGGAGTAAAACAGCGGCAACAACCAAAGTGATACCAGGCTAGCTCCAGTGGGGGAACGACTACAAAAATTCCTTCAAGGCTGGAATGTACCAGTCACCGACAAATGGGTAAAAGAAACCATGACCCATTGCTCTTCAATAGAATTTGTCAGCCCACCTCACAACAGATTCCTGAGCTCACCAGTCCCTCACTGCCCCATCAAGAGACAGGACACAAAGGATGCCATCAGACATTTGCTGGAGATCACCACCATCGAACCTGTGTCATTGTCACAAAGGTTCTTAGGCATCTATTCTGTTATTTCACAGGTACTGGAAGGCTATCCTTGACCTTAAATTCCTGAACAGGTTTGTGAGGGACAGGAAGTTCAAAATGGAGACCTTGAAGACCATTGTGGAAGCCCTGCAGCTGGAAGACTTCATGGCCTCCGTCAATTTGACTGAGGCATATCTTCACGTGCCCATAACTCCCTGGGACAGACAGTATCTGAGATTCATCTTCAGTCAAAATCATTTCCAGTTCAGGGCCATGTCATTTGGGTTGGCATCAGCACCCCAGATATAAACAGAACTGATCATCTCACTTGTTTCAATCCTGCGTCTCAAAGGAATCCATATCCATTCCTATCTCAATGACCTCCTTATAAGGTGACTTTCACAAAGGTGGGCACTCCGGGATAGTCATGGCTTCCAGAAGAGCCAACTAGTGCCTGCCAGGTCATCATGTGTTTGGGGTCAGTGATAGATTCAATGCAGAAAAAAGTGTCTCTTCCACTAGACAGAGCAGAGACGATTGTTCAGACCATGAAACAGTTTCACTCTGTGAAATCAATGGACTTGATGATCCTAGTGCATCTGCTAGGTTACATAGTTGCAGCTATCAAAACAGCCCCTTGAGCCCAGGCACACTTTTGGGGTCCTTCAGTGGATGCTATTGCCATATCAGAGGTTCATAGCCCTGCGAAAGCATATCAGAATCAGCCTCAGTCAGCATCTCAGGAAGGACTCCTTTGGTGGACAACCAAGAATCACTTGCTTGTAGGCAAACCCTTCCAAGTGACCACAGACCTACAGATCACAACAGACGCCAACCTGATGGGTTGGGGAACCCATTGCATACTGGGCCACGTGCAGGGGACCTGGTACCATCAAGAAGCTTCCCTCAGCATCAGTCTTTTGGATCTGCATGCAGTTTGTCTGGCTCTTCTCTTTCATCTGCCTTTTTGTATCAATATATTTATTAAAAGCTTTTCATGCATATATAAAAAGAACAAGAAAAAATATAAACAATAGAAAAGGAAAGAAGAAAAGGAAAATAAAGCAGAGAAACATGTCTTTACAATTTAACCAATTCCAAAAATATCTTAGTAACAAAGCAAAATAGAATCACTTATTACAACAATTCAACTTATTCCTTTTAATCATAACCTGCTCACCCAACATCTTCCCTCTATGTTATATAAACTTATTTACATGTTCTTATTCATCAAATCCACATATCATCAACTCAATTTTTTCCCTTTGCCTGTAGAAAGTCAGTAAGTGGCTTCCAGCTAGCAATACAAGTAAATAATGTTTTTTTCTTTAATCAAAGAAGTCAGTTTAGCCATTTTTGCTCATTCCAACATCTTCAACCACCATTCTTCTATTGTAGGTATTTTTTATAGATTTCCAGTTCTGTGCATAGAGTAACTTTGCTGCTGTAACCATATATAAAAACAAAGTTCCATGACTATTTTCAAGTTGTCTGTCCATTGGTCCTAAGAGAAGAGACTGAGCCCTATGAGGAAAGGCTAAGGGCCTTGGGAATGTTTGGAGAAGAGGAGATGGGGGGGGGGACATGATTTCTCTCTTGAAATATTTGAAAGGCTGTCATTTGGAGGAGGGCAAGGAGCTGTTCTAGTTGGCAGCAGAGGATAGGACCCAAAGCAACGGGTTGAAATTACATGCAGAAAGGTATCGGCTGGATATTAGGAAAAACCTTTTCACAGTCAGAGTGGTTCAAAGGTGGAATCAGCTGCGTAGGGAGGTGGTTAGCTCCCCTTCACTGGCAGCTTTCAAGAAGAGGCTGGACGAATATTTGTCAGAGATGCTTTAGGCTGGTCCTGCATTGGGCAGGGGGTTGGACTAGATGGTCTGTATGGCCCCTTCCAAATCTATGATTCTATAACAGAAAAGCTTCCGGTTTCATTTGTATATTCATTTTAAAGATCTTTGGTATTTGTAAATGTATTTGCATCCAGATTTTTTGGCTTTATCACAAGTCCATCACATATGATAAAATGTTTCTAGGAAGTGACGTGGGCATGCTGGGGGTGGTTTTCCCTTTTATGGCCGTGGCCCCGCCCCCAGCGAGCCCAGCGTGCCTACGTCACTTCCAGGTGACGTGTGCGCGTGCACGCTTTGCGCGCGCGCACTCACCCGACGCTGGCCGGGAGCCCCCTGCTCCCGGCGAAGAATTATTTGGCAACCCTAGGCATGCCTCCCCTTTGCTTTCCCAGCCGCCCTTCCAGGAGCTGCACAGTATGTGTGAAAGAGCCACATGTGGGCTTCCAAGCCACAGTTTGGCCACCCATGAGTTAATGGTTGCGTAACTATCCTTTCCTCTTAATAGTATTTTTTTAAAAAAAGAAATATTCTGCTTTCTCATTCTTTTGTAGGCATATGCATCAGGCTGTGATATTGTGATATTGGGGACTGACTTTGAAAGATTACAAATAATTCCTGGAGCAAAACATGGCAACACACAAGTGGGATGTGTGGATTGTTCGATGCAGCAAGGGAAGGTAAGTAGTAATAATTTTACTAAATGGTGCTTCTTGGTATGGTTTTTGGTATTTTCGGTATCAACCTGTGTGGTGGTAATATACAAAACTCTACTTTTTGGCTGTTCTCAAGAGCATGCATGTAAACTATTTAAAAATCTGCTTGTAAAGTCCTCCTAAAATCCATATAGAGAATGATGCTTTTGTTGTAGACAGTGCTATTTCATGACTACTAGTTTGGTCACAGTTGTGCTGCAGAGTTATATATGCTTGTCGGCCAAATGCACACAGACAGATACTTAAACAAACAGGAGCTAGACTGATCTATAATATTTAATGATTGATGTAAAATAGTTCCATAGTGGGGAATTACCACCACTGCTTTCATGTAAGGTTAATATTGTTTGAACATAGTTCTATATGAACATAGTATTCAGTGTCAAAACTTACCACCTTGAGAGAAGACTTGAACAACTTTCATGCTACTTCATTAACTGTCTCAGGAAGAAGTAGAATTAAGAAGAAAGAGGCAACAACTGCAGCACTTAACCTTACCAAAAATTTGCAGGCATTTGGGTATTTTAACCCAGATTGATAGTCATGTTTGGTGTTAAACTTACTGTTTGCTATCATCTGGTGCTTATTTCTGAAAGAGAAACTGTTAAATGAACAGCCACACTTCTCAAAGTTTTATTCGTTTAACATACTTAACATCCCACTTTTCTCCTGGCATCTGGAAAAGAAAGGCTGAGTTCTTTCTAGAAGGATTTAGAGAGAAGTGTCAATCTGTTTGGAAGTGTGTCATAGAAAGGTTGCTGTCTATCACAATATCAGCAAGAATTACAAAAAGGTTTGAAAGCCTCACATTACTTAGAAGTTTTATTGCTCCTTAACTGAAATTTCTCATGGGTTTTCAATACAAATTTATTTCTAAATGGCTCTGCAAAAATTGGAAAATTGAAGACATATGTCACACTTGAATGCTTTCATAGAATCGACAGTGTCAAACTGTACAAAGATGGAGTGCTCTGTTATGGTTGACACTGGTAATGTAGTTATGCACTCAAAGCATGAAGCAATTTAATATCAGTTTATTACGAATGCCTTTGGCAGATAATCTTATCAATCCTCATTGCAAATTAATTTCATAATAGAAAATGTCAGTCCAGGGTTACATTCTACCATTTTCTCTGGGGTTTTGTGTGTTTCTGCTTGTGCACGTTAGAAAGGAGATTTTTGCTTTCTGAAGTAATAGGAAATCAATACAGTCTGTCTGTTCTTTTTAAAGAGCAGCAGAAGACTTGGGTCACTTCTATTTTAACTAAAAAAAATATGGACCAGCAAGTGGGTGACCCACAAGGACTTGTGTAGGACATCTCATTTCCCCTCCCCCATCATTTCCTCTTTCCCGTCACTGAAAGCTCCCATAACCTCTCAATGTTTCCAGCTTCCTTCTCTACTTTTCAGCTACCTGCCAACATACCTTTTATCTGCCTCACTATCTTCAGCTGTGTTATTTATTTACTTGATATATATGTTAAGGGACCACTTTTCAGCACAATGGGGTCTCAAAGTTGCTTACATCATTCTCCTCTGTTTTATTATCACAACAGCCCTGTGAGGTAACTTAGGGTGACAATTTGCCCAAGGGCACTCAGTGAGCTTCCATGGCAGAGTGTGGATTAGAGGGCTGACCCTGTAAAAGGCACACAAGATCCCCGTGGGGCTTGATCCTGGGGCTTGAAACCAGAGCTTCAAACAGGGGAGTTGAGCTTGGGATTGGTGCAAGAGGTGAAGAAGTGTGTGTCTGCTTGCTTGAAGTTTCTGAGCTGTTTGGGGTGTGTCTGTGTGAAAACCTCCTAGCTTTTGGTGAGTGCATTAGAAGCACATTGGTTCTGCTGGGAGGGCCTTCTGCTTAAATGAGCTGCCTGCTGTTGTCTGGCTTCTGGGGTAGAGCCACAGCTCTCATCCATAAAGCAATGCTCCCTGTGGGGCTTGCAAAACAGTACTTTGAACAGGGCTTCTAACAGGAGAGTTAAGCTTGGGAATTCAGTGTGGAAGGTTGAGAGGGAGCAGTAGCGAACCCCTCTCGTTGTTTCCTGACAAGAGACATAAAGACTCCAAATCAGCAAGGAGTGTGATGTGCTTCAATATCCTTCCTGCTATGAAAATCCACACAAATTAAAGTGAATACCCCATTTCACCCTAAAATAGCTTTTAACAACTAACCAGGTATGAAGATAAAAAGCCAGCAGGGGAGTGGGTGCTATTTAGTATTTTGCAGGGAGTGCCACATCTACCTACTGAGTGGATATCATGAGTGTGTGCTTTATGCATGGAACTCTTGACTCTCAGGGAGCAGGTTCATTCCCTTGAGCATAGGGTAGCTGACTTGGAGAAGCTGAGACAGAGAGAGAGGTCTGGGGAAGAGACCATCAGGGATTTACCAGAACAGTCCCACTCCTCTGCTGACAGTTCTTCTGTTGTTGTGGAGAGTGAGAGTCTTGAGGTTGGAGAGTGTCAGTCTGAAAAAGGACATGATCCCTTAGAAGGGACCTTGGATGATGAACCAATATCCTTTTGTACCAAGGATACCCCTCTGGGGTTGGGGGGAGGTGGACTTTTGGAAGTAGGTGATTCGGTTATTGGGACTATAGAGAGAGGGGTCTGTGACAGGCATTTTGACTGCATGATGCAAAGGTTACAGGTCATGCGCTGTCTAGATAGTTTGATAGTGCTGAGGATGAGTCAGAAGCAGTAGTGGTGCACATCGGCATCAGTGACATTGGAAAATGTAGTCACTGGAGGAAAAATGTAGGTTACTAGGCAGAAAGATAAAGGCCAAGACTCTAGAGGTAGCATTCTCAGAAGTGCTACTGGTTCTATGCACAAGGCCGGACAGACAGGCATGGCTCAGGGGTCTCAGTGCATGAAAAAGAAAGTGGTGCCAGGAAGAAGGGTTTAGAGTTGTTAGGCACTGGAGAACTTTCTGGGACAAGCTGAACCTGTACAAAAGAGACAAGAGAGCCAGTTTGGTGTAGTGGTTAAATGCGCGGACTCTAATCTGGGAGAACCGGGTTTGATTCCCCACTCCTCCACTTGCACCTGGCTGGATGACCTTAGGCAAGCCATAGTTCTGATAAGGGCTGTTCTTGAAAAAGAGCCGTTTCTGTCAGAGCTCTCTCTGCCCCACCCACCTCACAGGGTGTCTGTTGTGAGGAAGGGAAGGGAAAGGAGTTTGTAAGCTGCTCTGAGACACCTTTGGGTTGTGAAGGGCGGGGTATAAATCCAATCTCTTCTTCTTCTTGAACCAAAAGGGAACCAGGCTGCTGGTGCTTAATATCAAAAAAGTGGCAGATCAGCTTTTAAACTAATCCCATGGGGAAAGCCAACAAGAGCCTCCTTTTGGGGACAAGTTAGTCCAAAGGGATGATTGTGCAGTCAGGGTGATATTGATAGGAACATAATAGGATTTGGGAGTGAGGGTAGGAGGCGAAAGAGGACTATGTGTTGATCCTAAGGGGCCAAAGGAGGCAAGGGTTACTGGACACAGAAACACATTATAGGTTTCTATATGCCAGTGCTAGAAGTTTCCAAGCCTAGATGATGGGGAGCTGGAGTGCTTGGGGCTCAATGACAATTAGCATGTAGTAGATATCTCAGAAACATGGTGAAATTGGAAAAAATCAATGAGATACTGTGACGGACTGCACTTTTAAAGAGGCTTAAAAGTGCTGTGCTTTCAGCTAAAGAACTGTGAAAGGTTAATTCTTCACAGAAACAGAAAGCCTTGAGTGACAGACTGCTCCAAACAATATGATTGGTTAGCATCAGCTGAGCAGAGAAAGTCTGGTGAGAGCTGGATGCTGAGGAGAAATTCAGTCAGATTCCTGCCTTTACTTGGAAGAGACATGTATTGAAACCTGTCTGAGAAATAGTCCTGGCAGAAAAAGGGTTTAGTGCTGACAAGGTCGGATTTATGCCTTGACTGAATGCAGTCTGAATTTAGTGGTAGCTGAGAGCAGTTTGCATACAGATAGGAGAACAGGGGAAAGTTTGACAAGGAAGTGGATAGTAGAGAAGACTCCGATTCAGGCCAAAAGGAAAGGGGATAAATCTTCTAGAGAGAGAAGAAGATTCCCTGCCCAGTCAAGCAGGGCGAATTATCTCTGAGGAGTACAGAAATCCCTGGTCTGCTGTAATAAGAAACTGCCAGTAGAGAAGGGGCTTGGGTACTGGGAAGAGAGTACCCATCTTCTGGCCACCCAAAGAGTCAGTGATTATACAAATAAAGTGTATAATTTTATTTGTGTTTGGGGAAACACTGGAACAAAAACATGAAGGCAAGCAATAAACATCTGTTTAAATATATCCAAAGAAACGAACCAGAAGTAGTTGGGCCTTAGGGTGACTAAGGAATAAAGAGATTGCTAAAGAAAGATGGGGGAGATGGCAAAGAAGCTAAATTAATTCTTTGCTTCTGTGTTCTCTGTGGAAAGTGTGGGGCATGTACCCATGCCACAGCCACTATTTTCAAAAAGGGAGTCTGAATAACTGAGTCAAATTGAGGTGACAAGAGATGAAGTGGTAGACCTTTGGGGGAGGGAATTAAAAATCTATAAGTGTCCAGGTCCTGATGACATACTCCCCAAGTGTTCTTAGGGAACTCAAATGTAAGATAGGTTACATATAGTGCCAACCAAATGTAAGATAGGTTACATATAGTGTCAACTGGTGCAGTAGTGAAAAAGGCAAATTGTATGTTGGGGATTATTAGGAAAGGGATTGAAAACAAAATGGCTGATACAAGAATGCCCCTGTATAGATACATGGTGCAGCCTCATTTGGAATACTGTGTACAGTTCTGGTCATCGTATCACAAAAAGTAAATCAACTATTACTAAATTCAGCAGCTGTACCAGAAGACTGGAGTGTAGCAAATGTTACACCAGTTTTTAAAAAGGGGTCCAGAAGGGAACCAGGAAATTACAGGCCAGTTAGCTGAATGTTTGTCCCAGGCAAATGAGTAGAAACTGTAATCAAAGATAGAATTATTAGGCACATAGAGGAACAAAGTCTGTTGAGGGAAAATCAGCATGGCTCCTGCAAAGGCAAGGCCTGCCTCTCCAACCTTTTGAAGTTCTTTAAGAAACTGAACAAGCATGTAGGCTTGGTGAAATGACAGGATGCAAAGAGTAGGAATACATGGACAATTCTCATAATGGAGGGAAGTAAGCAGTGGGATTGCAAAAGGGTTGGTATTGGGGCCAGTATTATTTAGACTATTCATAAATGATCAGGAACTAGGGTGAGTACTGTAGTGGCCAAGTTTGCAGATGACAAAAAAAAAATGAGATTGGTGAAAACCAAAGCCAAATGTGAAGAGCTTCAGGAGGACCTCTACAAATTAGGTGACTGGGCGCCAGTGTGGCAGTTCAGTGTTGGTAAGGTGATGCACACTGGAACAAAATGTCCCAACTTCAAGTATAGGCTAATGGGGTCTGAACTGGCTGAGCCTGAGAGGGGAAAAGATGTGGAGTTGTAGTGGATAGCTCAATGATAGTGTTAACCCGGTGTGTTGCAGCAGTGAAAAAGGCAAACTTTATGTTGGAGATTATTAGGAAAGGGATTGAAAATAAACTGGCCAATACCATAATGCCTCTGTATAGCTATTGTCAGGTGCCACAGCCTAACAAAGGAGTACACATTTAACATAAGGTTATACTTTAATGTAAGAGCTATAGAGGCAGTAACATCGTCACTGTTAGGAATGGCTACTTTCCTACAAGCATAATGGGATATAGGGTATTCGTACACACACACCCCACCCCTAGGCCAATTGGCCTGACTCCCGCGCGTGGGAGAATGGGGCCCCAGGCTGTTAAAGCCAAAGCTGGGAATCGAAACTTATCCCATGGGTAATAGATGGGAAGATGGTACACAGGCAGCTAGCTAGCAAGGTCGTAGATAAGCAAGGAGGAATGCGGCAGCAGTTGGTACACAGGTCAAGCAGATGCTCTCTCGCTCATAAACATCATGGCAGCATAGCTGACAGCTATATGGTGCAGCCTCATTTGGAATACTGTTCAGTTTTGGCCACCAATCACAAAAATCACATTGCAGAGCTGGAAAAAGTGCAGAGGAGGGCAGCCAAGATGATTAGGGGGGTTGGAGTACCTTTCCTATGGGGAAAGGCTGAAGAGTCTGGGGCTTTTCAATCCAGAAAAGAGAAAACTAAGGAGGGAAATGATGGAGATTTATAAAATTATGCATCGGGTAGAGAGAGTTGACAAAGAAGTTTTCCTTCCTCTTCCAAAATGATAAAACTTGAGGGCATCCAATGAAGCTGATGGGAAGTAGATTCAGGGAAGACAAAAGGAAATACTTATTTACAGAGCAAGTGATTAAAATGTGGAATTTGCTACCAGAGGATTTTGTGATGGCCACAGGGATAGACAGTTTTAAAAGGGGATTAGACAGATTAATAGAGTGGCTCAGTGGCTACCAGCCACAGTGACTAATAGGAACTTCAACATTCTGAGGCAGTAAATCCCTGAATCTCAGTGCCAGGAGGCAACATCATGGGAAGGCCTCCTCCTCTATGCTCTGTTGTTGGACCTCCCAAGGAACTGGTTAGCCACTATATGAGACAGAATGCTGGACTAGATGTACCACTGGTCTGATCCAGTGGGGCTCTTGTTATGTTATTAACTGTAACAAGCAGCCAGGCCTGGGTGAGTCATGCAAGTCAGGGTGTAGCAGGTCATCCAGTGGTTGCTGGTTGTCCTGGCCCCTAGGAGTCCCCCTCAAAAGGTAAAACAGGAAGGTCCCCTCCCCCTGCCTTTACTGCTGGAAACCAATGCTTGAAGGCTGTCAGTACTGCCATGATTACCTGTTAATGACCACTGAAGGCATTTGTTTATTAAAGCTAGAGGTGCTACTTATTTCAGAAATTTTAACCCCCATATAGTTTTTTTAAGATTTCAAATTTTTCTGCAAGCATGGGGCTTTTTCTTAATTGATAGACTGATCTGTCTGTTCTTTTCATAGATACAGTGTCTAGATTTAAGAATTGACTGATATGGCCATGTTGATAATTAGATATATAGCTGATGACACTTGTGCCTCCTCCATCACCTTATGAATGATCAGAGTACTCACTTAAAACTGTGATAGGATCCCTCTTTGGTTACAACAGAATAGATATGATGGTTTCTTTTCTTTCAGCACGCACAAATGGCTGCTTATTTCAGTTTCTACTTTATGTTCTGTGTAACTGTGATAGAATTCTCGTTGGCATTTTTAGGTCATGCTGCTGTATAAGTTGCTCAGTCTGATAAATATTATTTCTGTAATAGTTTCCCTTTTGCGTCTTGAATCTGTCCATTATTATATTTACTCCGACTCTGTGTGAAAATATAATGTAACTGATGTTTTCTGCAAGCCTATAAAACATTCTTTAAAATATTGTTTTGTATTTTTAAAGGAATTATTTTAATTATTATTTCTGCAAGGTGTTCATCAAAGTGGAATATTCTTCTGACTAGCCATAGTTCAGATTAGAGTATTTGACATCCCTTAAGTTTATGAGTCTGCTTCACAACCAAGAGATTGTAGAACTATGTCTGTATTGATACCTACGTTGTTGGGATTTTCTTCACTTTATCCTTGTTCGTACTTAATCGTTTTATCTTAAAAATTGTGCCCTGGGTTTCTCTCTCTCCTTTCTATGCTGTACATATGTTTTTGTTCTAAAATCTTTTAAACTTTATTCAAAGAATATTTGACACTCATGATTGCCTATTCTTTATCTGTAGCACATTTCTTTCCACTTATCCAACTACAAGGTATTCTTTTTTCATTCACATACTCTTTTTTACCACTTTTTAAAAAAATCTTTGTGCCACGTAAACTGAAGTAAAACAACTTGTACGTTAACACATTGAGTTGAAAATATATTGGAGTTTTGATGGAACTGCAAGAAGTTTGAGTCTCCTGAAACTTTAGGATCATTTTGAAATTTTCTTTTAACTTATGTGATAACTTTTTGGTGATGATAAAAAAGCTTGAGACAGTAAAAGGAAGGTGGTACAATGTAGAAATAAAAGCAGATAAAATAACCTTACTTTAACATGCTGTCTGTTTTAGATTGCAGCCTCCTATGGAAATGTGATTTGTATTTTTGAGCCAGTTCAGTGTCTGAAAGAGAAGCGTAATTTTCATACTGTAAGTAGTTCATCTTAATATCTAAACAATTGCATAATAACTCGCCAGCCTTCTATTACTTTAAAGATGGCAAACTTTGTTACCTATTTTTGATTAGTTGGCCAGTGTGTGAAACAGGATGCTGGACTAGATAGATTGCTGGACTGATCCAGTAGGGCTCTTATGTGTTATTATTTTGTGATTTAATTTAGTTAGATTTTAACACTACTCTTTTTATGCTCCTTATTTTTAATATTATGTGGTTTTATCAGGGAACAAAATCAACAGTGTTGAGATAGTAGTATATCAATACGTTTGGAAGGCTGTTTCTCCCCTTTACTTCTCCAAAACCTTTCCAACCAACCATACCTCTATAACAAATAACCAGGACTTACAGTGTGCTTTTATATATAGGCAGTGTTTGAGAAAGGTCATAGACAAACATCTCCCACTTGCTAGGCTGATCCAAAGGCTCTTTAGCTGATCCACATATAGAAGAAATATCCTGTGAGTCTCCTTTGCATGTGTCTTCATGAAGAAGATTTAAACAAATGCACGGTGCTACCACTGCAGCTGAGCAATTTTCAGACTGGTGAAAAGCAGAGGAGTGTGCGGGTGTCACAGGCCAAATGAGTCCTGGAATCTCATTGGGCTGACCTTTGAGCATTGGTGTCATCAACCACAGAAGCTTTGTGTGAACAGGCACCATTCCACGGTGGGTCCTGTCCACGCCTCTAACTCTATAATATTTTGGAACTAAGTAGCCTTATAATTACAGTGGCATAATAACCACTGAATTCTTTTGCAAACTAGTTCCAAGGAGCACCTTGTGTTCCTAGTTCTCTCTCTGCAATAATACACATTTTGATAACAGGCTTGACTTGTATATATTCCATTGGACTTGAAAAATATTGTCATGTCTATTTTTCAAGATTTTAAACTACTGTAAGGGAAGAAAGTGGGGGGGGGACAGAACTACATTAATGCTGTCAAGTTGTGACTGTGATCACCTCCCGATGCATTCTTCAAGAATCTTGAAATTGTCGTACATATTGCAGTAATGCTGTTCTGAAGCACTTGAGTTGTGGGCAAAACTAGTGAACAGAGTTTCAGTATTCTATTTAGGTCCTATTTTTGGTCATTCCATCCAGAATTTATTTAGGTAATGTGTTGTAAGAATTGACTCTTGAGCCACTCACGTAAAATGACGTATAAACTGATGCCCTAGGTATGGACTAGAAGAGTTTATTATAAAGCACAGAACATTTTTGTATTCATCAACTATGTGTTTCAGAAGAAACTTGTGGTATTTGAGAGTGTAGCATGTTTGCAACACATTACAGTTGTCAACAAAATGTAATTTTGCAAAGTTATTATTAGAGGATATAAAGGAATGGATTTACAGTCTAAGGACTAAATCAGGGGTGGCCAAACTGCAGCTTGTGAGCCACATGTGACTCTTTCACACAGTCTAATGTTAATAAAAAGGAAATTGGCATATTTTTCAATAAAAATGTGTCTGTAATATTTGTTATAAATAGTATAAATATATAAATAAATATAATATAAAGAGCCTCTTGCTAAGGGTGAAAGAGGAGAGCACAAAAGTTGGCTTGAAACTCAACATTAAAAAAACTAAGATCATGGCATCTGGCCCCATTACTCCTTGGCAAATAGAAGGGGAAGTCATGGAAGCAGTGACAGGCTTCACGTTCCTGGGATCCAAGATCACTGCAGATGGTGACTGCAGCCATGAAATTAAAAGATGCCTGATCCTTGGGAAGAAAGCTGTGGCAAACCTAGACGGCATAATAAAAAGTAGAGGCATCACCCTGCCAACAAAAGTCCGTATGGTCAAAGCAATGGTATTCCCAGTAGTAATGTAGGGCTGCGAGAGTTGGACCATAAGAAAGCCCGAGTGCCGAAGAATAGATGCTTTTGAATTATGGTGCTGGAGAAGACTCTTGAGAGTTCCTTTGACTGCAAGGAGATCAAATCAGTCAACCCTAAAAGAAATCAACCCTGAATGTTCCTGGGAAGGCCAGATACTGAAGCTAAAGCTCAAATACTTTGGCCACCAAATGAGAAGGGAGAAGACCCTGATGCTGCGAAAGATTGAAGGTCAAAGAAGAAGGAGACCGCAAAGGATGAGATGGTTAGACAGTGTTATTGATGCAACGAAGATGAAGTTGAGCAAACTCTGGAGGACAGGAGGGCCTGGCATGATGTGGTTTATGGGGTAACGAAGAGTCGGACTCAACTGTGCGACTGAAGAACAACAACAACTATTTGTTCATGTCTTGCAGCTCTGAAACATATGACGTTTATTCTATGTGGCTGTTACGTTAAGTAAGTTTGACCACCCATTAACTAAATGGACTTTTCTGCTGTCTCACTCTGTGACTGCTTTTTGCACTCCAGTCTCTGAAAAGCCATATCTGAGGGTCAGTGGAACTTCAAAAACCTGTCCAAGGCTATATGGGTAGACTGCAGCCAGGGCATGAAAATCTTCACAAATTGGAGATTTTCCCTTGTGTGAACAGTACTGGCTTCAAACCATTAATTATCCCAATCCTGAATTCTTTTTAATTGCTATCCCATGTTTCTGTGAAATCAATTTAAATCCCTTTTTCCTGGAAATTGGTACTTCATCAAGCATATGAACTGACAAAGAGAAGAAAAGTCCTAAATCTCTGCAGCATTTTGGCCCGTCTCCTGAGCATTTATGAAGAGGAGGAGGAGATTGCATTTATACCCCGCCCTTCACTCGGAGTCTCAGAGTGGCTTACAAACTCCTTTCCCTTCCCCTCCCCACAACAGACACCCTGTGAGGTAGGTGGGGCTGAGAGAGCTCTTTCAAGAACTGCCCTTTCAAGGACAGCTCTTGTCAGAACTATGGCTTGTCCAAGGTCATCCAGCAGCTGCAAAATTTCATTAATGGAAATTTTTTGTTTAATTATTGTGGTTGAATTAAGGAAGGGAAATAGACAGATAGGAGATTTGGATGTAGATTCAGTGATGGTAAGGTATGGATAGGATTTTCAAAAGGAATTGTATAAAAGGTGTGAATTGTGTCTATGTACATTCTAGAAACAGAAGGTAACTTAGCCTGGAAGTTTAAACCTTTGCTGGTATTCAGGTTCTCAGTCAAGATGGATTCAAAATCAAGTTATAACTCACTATGGCTCACTGACCTCCATGGAATGCTGCTCCTGGGCTATGGGGTACCCTGAGGAACAATATGGGGAAGGGGTCTGCAGCAGGAAAGTAGAATCAATGGAAATTGTCAGTTTAGTCTGGATCCAACTCATTATATGTTTTAATCAGTAACTCTTAAAGCTTAAGCCTTCCAACAGTATAAAACATAATTCATGCTATACTTTTGGTTTTAGGGGCTGCATTATCAGTGGCAGAAATCAGGTCAAATTTCTCTGGAGCATACGGTGCATAACTTAACATGGGACCCTACAGGTAAGCACAAAAATAACTAAACTTTTTTTTCCTCACCTTTTCATTTTGATTGACATATCTTACTGTGTAGGTAACAACATTGGCCTAATGATGAAGAACGTTGCCTATTGCTTTTTCAGATATTCTGCTCCAGGGAAGGGCAGACTTTGTTTTGTGTGGGCTATTTAATTTTTAAATAAACTTCAGAATTACCATTCACAAAATGGCAACTTGGTGTGTAGAGCCTGTCCCAGAATGACAGTTTGAACCAAAATTGTAGGATTTTTGAGCAATGTTCAGATGCGGAAACCAATTTTCTGCTGTTTCACAAAGCAAGCCACGTCAGCAAGGAAAACTACATACCTCTGTATTTTCCCTGAAAGAGCCAAATAGCAACTTTGGTGCAGGAATAAAGAGCAAATACCATGCTCCTTTCTCAACCAGAGCAAGGATGTGTGTGCATATATGGTGGAGGAGGAAAAGCAGATGGGAAAGTGTGCTGGGGATGCCATTTTCCCATCCACAGCAAAGGTATGTGTGAGCATGTGTCTCCGTTTCTATTGCATGAAAGAAAAGGAGGAGAGTAGCAGTTGCAGAAGCTGTAAGGGAAAGATAAGAAAGGGATTGCAGAAGAAGGGTCAGGGAGCTGCTTTTAGTTCACTCCCAACTGACCTGCCCACACCCAGCTCCTCATTTTCACGGCCTCCCCAGTTCTGTACCTGTTTTGCATTGTTCCCCCCGTTTCTATCTTTTGCTGCAATTGAGTTGTTATAATTGAAATAGCTGGTCCTTTTGTATGGTAGCATTAAAAAATTTTATGTGTAACCTGGCGAAATATATAGACATTAGTATTACATGTACTGCTTCTTACAGTCATGCATACAGTCCAACCATTTCCTCCAGTATCTCAGAACCTCCCTTCTACTATAACAGTGTTATAATGGTAAAGAAGTGGGCCAAAATAATATTTTTATCAAATGAATATTTCTCACTTGGTTTGAACTGCAGGATTTATTTATTTATATATTTATTTATTTATTATTTTCAATTTATAACCCGCCTTTCCTTCACAGACAGGCCAGATCCCGAAGAGCATCATTGTTTCCCCTTCTTATAGATAGTGTGATATAGATATTGTTTCAGTTTGGCTAGGTGCCTCTAGAGTTTCTTCCTGCTATCTCCTGATTTTTAATGTTCGTTTGGACCAGGTGTGATCTCATTAGGCAACAGCATCCCACTAAAGCCCCTTAAAATTGATACTGCTCATCAGAACGAGGCGGCAAACAGAAAATACAGTAGCTTAAAATCTTTGTGCTGGCTGCTGAAAAAACTGGTTACAGTCATCCCAAGCTCAGCCTTGGGAGGGTAAACACACTTGAATATCTATAATATGAAGGCACAAATTCTGCCGCTGTTTGGACATACAAAATGAACTTAAATGGAAGATGGAAGTTAATATGTATGAAACGCTTACAGAAACTATGAAGCTTTGGGCCAAGTAAATATTTTTAGGATTTAATTTATTATTACTAAACTTGGTTATTTGTTTTAGGCTTAGAAATTTTATATATTTTATACATTCATGAATACAAAAGGATCTCCGATTTATAGGGAAGCACCTGAAATATTCATTTGCTCATGTGTGGTTTTCAAAATTTATATTTTGATATTGATTTTTTTAAAAATGTGTTTTACAGTGTGATCCTAAGCTGGTCTGCTCTGAATCCTACTTAGTATAACCAGTGTGCATAATTCTCAGGAAAATGTTCTTAGGACTGTACTGTTTCATTTTATTCTAGCTTTGTCTGCTAGGTCTTGCATGAACTTTTGTGACAGTGCAAGGATAATTAATTATTTCTCGTGTGATACATTTTTAAAAAATAAATCTGGAAAACATCTGCTGCTGCTGGTTTGTATTAGTTCCAAAAGAAATGAGGGAGGGGGCTCTCAGATGTTTTGTAAGTTGAGTTCTTGAACTTCATGTTTAAATGAAAATATTGCAAATTTATTCACTCCTGTGAGGGTTCTTTACTACAGTTTTAACTCCTTTTAACTCCACTTACATGATTTTAATGTCTTCAAAAAACAGGTATTTATATGCTATTAACCATAGACTAAAAAGGCTAATTTTTAACATTATAAGGGTGAAAATCACAGATTACATCATGTCATTGTAGGGCTCTATTAGCTTTCATCTGTACCTTCTAGTCCTTTTTGTAGATTGGTGGCCTAAAAGTATGATAAATGATTGTCTTCCTTTGCAGCACTAAATCTACCATTCCCTTAGAAGCTACATTATGCCTTCCACCAACTTCTTAAGAATCACCTCATTAGCTGTACTAACACCTATTTATAGTGTAAAAAAGGTAAAGGTAAAGTTTCCCTTGCTCGAAAGCCAGTCAAATCTGACTAGGGTTGCGGTGCTCATCTCCATTTCAAAGCCGAAGAGCCAGCGCTGTCCGAAGACGCTTCCATAGTCATGTGGCCGGCATGACTAAACACCAAAGCGCACGGAACGCTGTTACCTTCCCACCGAAGTAGTACCTATTTATCTACTTGCAATTTCTTGCTTTCGAACTGCTAGGTTGGCAGGAGCTGAAACTAGAGATGGGAGCTCACTCCGTCATGCGGCAAATTGGATCTCGAACTGCTGAACTACCAACCTTCCACAGCTTGCAGTTCAGCGTCTTAACCACTTGAGCCACTGCAGCTCCATTTATAGTGTACTTGACTGTTAAAATGGTTTTTCTCTGACGGAGTTGATGCAATCAGAGCATTTTCTGAAATATATGGCAGGCTGGTGGGATGGCAGGCAATCTCCTCCTATTCTGTAAACATCAAGTAATTGATATGGAATGGTGCTGGCTGAATGGGACTTATGTCTTTCCCACTTTACTACTTACATACATTTTCACTGAAAATTATTTTTGAATGTTTTTTTAAATTGTTTTTAAAGTTTGTGTATGTGTTGTATGTTTCGTGGTAAGTGGCTGAATTTGCTTCTTTGAGTTGATGGTTCCAGATGAATATATTTAGATATACAATATGTCTTTAACTACCAAATTTAATTTACTTTTGTGTACAAATTTGAAAAATGTAGGCTCTCGTCTGCTGACTGGTTCCAGCTGTCTGCAGCTTTGGTCCAATATCAATTTTGAAAACCTAGCAGAAGATGAAAACCATGAAAAAACAGATGTTCAGGACTGGAGAATTATTTGGCAGTGCAAGTAAGAAATGTGTAATTACACCTTGTGGTGGAATTCCACTACAGCCTTACCTATGTTGTTAAACTTAATTGGAGTGTTGCTATATTCTAAACAGGAGTCCTGATATGCCTTAAATTCTCTTTAATTAGGTTTATGTGTCGAACAAACGTTGTATTATTTTAAATTGTACTCTAGATTTAACAATAAGATATTTCCTTCCCAACAAAATTTACATCTAGCCTTTAGGTTGCCCAGGTGGTATATGTACAATACATTCCTTTGTGCTGAAAGGGCAAAGGGGGCAGGGATTTTGGAAAAGTCCTAGAAGTTTTCTGCATTTAGGTCATGAGTTCACATGACTGCATAATTAACAATTAGATGTTTGTATTAACAGGCAGGTGACTTTTTAAAAACAAAAATCTTAATGTCAAATAGCATAAATGCATTAGGGAGAGGTATTTTCTTTGAAATTATTTGTAGCTATTTAATCTTTATTTTTTAAGATAAAACTTTCTGTCTGAAAGCTTGCAGTTTGGCTCTGTTAATATGCTGAAAGAGTGCATGGGTCTGAAAGCTTGCAGTTTGGCTCTATTAATATGCTGTAGAGTCCATGGATCTCTAGAAACCTCTCTTTTTCAAAAAATCACTGCATTCCAGCCCATAAACCAGATGATGCAAATAGTAGGGCTATGCACTAAAATAGAGTTTCAGACGATTTTCCTACACATTGTGATACTGTAAACATTTGAGGAACATGCTTGCATGTTGAACCCAGAGACTGATTATGTGAACATTTAAGGGATGATAAAAATTCAAATCCAGATGTTAGGAATCATATGCCCAAAGGAAGAATATTCATAATATGGATATATTCTGATTTAACCTAGCCATCATCGGTCTTATTCTGACTTTGTTGTTAGTAGGTCAGTAGACCAGGTGATCCTACTTTCCCATCTCAGCTTAGTGGAGAACTCAGAAACTGCACCAGTTAATGAGGTTTAATTATCTGGTGACAAGTAGGATAGTTGAATTCCAAGGAAATTGTTTTCCAGCTCTGTCAATATTAAACACCCTTTTCATTATGCTCTTGAATAATATTTAACATGTTGCTATTTTGCTTTGCTACAGAACTGCTTCGCAAGTTCATCTAATGAAATTTTCACCAGATGGAGAATTTTTTGCTACTGCTGGGAAGGTAAACAAGCTTTTATACCACTTTGACATAATACTTCAAAATACCAGATTAATCCAAATTGACCAGCATACCCTAGCATGCCTTTTACAAATTGGCCTGCCTGACATAACAATATGGCTCCTTACAGATTTCTCACTAATGCTGTTTTCATTTGCTCTTTATCTGAGTTCCTCCATGCCCAGGCAGAGAACGAAGGGAAGGACACGGAGAAATAGATTGGCTCGGTGCCCTTCCAGCCTGCGACCCATCCCGGAGGTGGTCAGCGGTGGGGCTAGGATGGTTGACTCCCCTCCGTCATTGGTGTTGAGCAAAGTCCATAAGTCCATAAACAATAAGACCACAGTCCTTTGGGACTTTCTGCTAGAGCAGAGAGTGGACGTAACGTGCGTGACCGAAACCTGGGTGCGGGATGGGGAGACTGTAGTGCTTTCCCAGCTCGCCCCTTCCGGGCTTTTGGTCCTTCACCAATCACGGACTAGGGGGCAGGGGGGCGGAGTGGCTATTTTCATTCAGGAGGCTTACTCCTTTAGGGCGCTCCCGCCGTTAGAGATCACAGGCATGGAGTGTGGTGGCCTAGTATGGGAAGCCGAGGAGAGTGGCGATTTGGCTGGTGTACTGACCGCCTAACACGCCGGCCAATAGCCTACCGTCCTTTTTGGAGGCTGTATCAGGCTGGGCGCAGGAACCCAGGCTTATAGTCTTCGGTGACTTCAACGTCCATGCTGATGACGCGGCCTCCATACAGGCTGCGGACCTGGTGTCGTCCATGGCGGCACTGGGACTCTCCCAATTTATAATGACTCCCACTCACCGGGCTGGTCACATGCACGATTTGGTCTTCGCGGCTGGGGTAACAGTGGACCGGATTACTGCTTTGGCAGTACCATGGTCGGACCACCATGCCCTGAAGGCCCATCTGAATGTTCCACCCCGACCCTGTTTAGGCAGCAAGCGTATTTTAGCTCGCCCGCGGAGCCTAATGGACCCCTTGCAGCTTCAGAGGGCCCTGCGGGATCCAATGCCCCCCGGCAGCTTGTTAGATGAGCTTGTTGAGGACTGGCGTAGCCGACTCTCTACCGCCATCGACGAGATCGCTCCCCGGCACCCTCTGCGCTCCCGCTCCAAACTTGCTCCATGGTATACCCAGGAGTTGAGGGGTATGAAGCAGGAGTTAAGACGACTAGAGAGACGGTGGCGACGTGTTCGCAACGAAGTCACAAGAGTATCTTATAGGACGTTTATGAGATCCTATGAGATGGCAGTCAAGGCTGCCAAGAGGGTGTTCTTTGCAGAGGAGATTGCGTCCGCTAGCTCACTCCCAGCCCAATTATTTAGAACAATTTGGTCTATAACAGCTCTGCCTCAGGGCAGCCCAAATGTGAGGAAATTGGAGATCGGCTGTGAGGCTTTTGCGAGCTATTTTGCGGATAAAGTCTTCGCCATGCCCTCCCCGCCATGCTTGAAACAGTGAGTGAACTCAAGGCCCCTTGAACGCCTGCGTTCGTTTTGGATCATTTCGACCTGCTCAGCTTTGAGGAAGTTGACAGATTACTCATAACTGTATGCCCAACCACGTGCGTCCTTGATCCGTGCCCTTCCTGGCTCATTAAAGCGGGCCATGAGGGGTTTCGAGGAGCTCTTAGGGAGATTATCAATAAGTCTCTCACTGAGGGACGGTTCCCGGGAGCTCTCAAGGAGGCGATGGTCTGTCCTTTCCTGAAAAAAACATCTTTGGATCTGGCCGAATTGGCCAACTATCGTCCGGTCTCCAATTTGCCCTATTTGGGCAAATTGATTGAGAGGGCGGTGGCAGGACAGCTTCAGGGTTTTCTGGATGATGCTTCTACTTTAGATCCCTTCCAGTCCGGTTTTCACCCAGGTCACGGGACGGAGAGGGCGCTGGTCGCTCTTACTGACGACCTCCGTAGGCACCTGGATCGGGGCAGGTCAGCGGCGTTGCTGTTGCTAGACCTGTCGGCTGCGTTCGACATGGTCGATCACCAGCTGCTTGCCCACCACCTCGCCGACGTGGGAATACAGGGGCTTGCTTTATAGTGGCTTGTCTCCTTTCTCCAGGGTCAGGGACAAAGGGTGGTGCTTGGGGAACAGCAGTCCGGGAAACGCCCACTTGAGTGTGGGGTACCCCAGGGCGCAGTACTGTCCCCAATTTTGTTTAACATCTTTATGCGTCCCCTTGCCCAGGTGGTTCGGAGGTATGGGTTGGGTTGCCATCAGTACGCTGATGACACCCAGCTCTATCTGATGTTGGGTGGCCAGTCGGACTCCGGACTGGAAGACCTGGACCAGGCGTTACTGGCTGTGGCTGGTGGGCTTTGGTTGAGCCGGTTGAAACTGAACCCGGTGAAGATGGAGGTCCTGTGCCTGAGTCATGATGGCTCAGCGTTGGGGGTCCCACTCCCAGCCTTCGATGGGGCACCTCTCATGCCAGCATTGGAGGTTAGGAGTTTGGGGGTGCTCCTGGATGCCTCCTTGACAATGGAGGCCCAGGTAGCGGCCACTGCTAAATCGGCCTTTTATCATCTTCGGCTGGTTTGGCAGTTGGTTCCCTTCCTTGACCGCCGCGACCTGACGACTGTGATCCACACGACAGTCACCTCGAGACTTGACTACTGCAACGCTCTCTACATGGGGCTGCCCTTGTCCCAAATCCGGAAGCTGCAGCTGGTGCAGAATGCTGCAGCCAGGCTGCTGATGGATCTCCCACGTCGGGAGCACATCCAGCCAGTGCTTAGGTTACTGCACTGGCTGCCAATAGTATACCGGATTCGCTTCA